GGGAGGTACAATCTGTCAAAGGATTTGATTGCCAACCAAGAAACTAAGGGTCTGAGCCCACTCAAATGTGCCTCAGAATTCAAACCCGCTCACGTCCTTCCAAGAAATCACCACTGCACACCGTATGAAGCACAGCTGTCTTCTGACCTACATTGCGCCCCACCACTGGAATTACCCAATGGCAATTGTTCTGTGTTTGTGGTGAAGATGAGAGACCTATGAGATATTCCTGCTCAGTGGACACAGAGTTTCTGTTGGAGTGATGCAACGTTTGATAAATAAGGCGCGGTGACAGCTGCACATCTTGTGTGTGATTAACAACTTGGGGTTAGATATTGAAAATGGCTAAGAAGGTGCATTTTATGGTTTGCATTTTTTACCACAGTTAAAGATATTGATAATTTTGCATTCTTCATGAATGCTTTAAAAAAAAGATCTTCAGTCTTTCCACGTTTGAAATATTTCCTCACTTCATTCTATTGTTAACCCAAACCATAACTGCTTAGATGATAAACAGTGTTGCCAACAGAAACAGAAATTGAAAAGTGAGTTGGTAAGTGATGCTGATTAATCCCTCAGGAGCAGAAATGGGAGTAGTGATACCAGGAGGGATGGGGGAAGATGGGGGGAGAAGGGGAGAAAGGGGGAGCTGGTTGCAGTGATTGATGCATAATCCCCTCCTCCAGGGGGATGAACAACAGAAATGTGGGTGAAGGGAGACAGTGGTCGGTATAAGATATGAAAACAATAACACTTTATAATTTATCAAGGAGTCACGAGGGGGGAAGGGGGAGGGAGGGATAAAAGAGGAGCTGATACCAAGGGTTCAAATAGGAAGTAAATGTTTAGATAATGATGATGGAAACATTTGTACAAATATGCTGGATACAATTGATGTATGGAATGTTATAAGAGCTGTAAGAGCAAAATGATTTTAAAAAATAAAAATTTATTATCTTTGTAAATAAATGAGAGAACTTGATGGCATATAGTAGTAACTGCCTCCCAAAAAAGAAAATTAAATGATGCGTATTAAGGATATTATTCAAAGGAAGGTAGAAAATATGTTGAACAATGACCTGTGTGGTACAACTATTGCTTTCTTGGCTTTCACCCCCAACGTCTCCTAACCCCAGGGATAAGTTAGATCCTTTGATCTAATGGCCTGTGAGGTACTAACAGTGTGTTTGGAAGTCTTTTTCAAAGCCACTGACCACAGCCAGTTTTCACTCACCACTGCTAGGACACAGGTGTGTTGATATTAGCTGGCATCTTTATCCATGAAACAAATATATTCCAAAGAAGCAGTTATATGCTATTTAAAAATACATGGGTTTTAAAAAAGTATGCAAGTATTTTCGCTTCTTCGGACAGTTGAAAAATACAGGCATGTAGAGAAATGCATAGTCCTTCCCTCTTTACACCCCACAGACTCTCTGCTGTTGTCCAGTCAGTTCCGCCTCATCACAAGCCTAAGTGCAGGAACAGGAAACAGCTCTCCCCACACCGTCCTCACCATGAGG